GGTGCAAGGGTCTTCTACTTCTAGTGGCCTTGCAGTATGGGATTTAGAGCCCACTCTAAATACCTCCTAAGAGGCAGTTATTTAATCCCCCCAAGGCTGAAGTAGGGCCCAGTGGGTCTTCCATGTCCTAGGCCAGTGGGTTTCAACCAGGTTTTTTCATTTGCGAGCCCCTAAAAAAATTTCAAGTGGAAGGTGCAGACCCTTTTGGATGGTAAGTGTGGGTATTCACATCTGATTGACGATAGTCATCTTTTGTGGATGCCTTAGACATAGTCTGCAAATCCCCAGCTTATCCTAGACAAGTGCCCTAACCACTATGATATTTGAAGAAAAGGAGGCTTATGCTGCCTGCATAATCTTTAGCTCCCAAGACAAAAAAACACTGCTACAACACATGTGATGCGTGTGGCCAGAAGCAGGTAGGATTCAAAGCAGTTGGTTAAAATTACCCCTGGACTGAATGGAAAGCCATGCACCCCTGACTAATATTGCTGGAGGCAGCTGAGTGCTGCCCACTGGCATGAATAGGTCAGCCGGGGCAGCTGCAGACTGAGGCAGGGGCTGCCTCCTGCGGGTACGGACCCTTGAACCTGTTGGAAGTACAAAATAATTGCCTGGCCACACAGGCCAAACAATGTGTTCAGCTTTCTGTTCCTGGGCCCCAGCTCTGTGCTAATGGAGGATTACACACGGGCGTGTAGGGCCCCTATGCACACCCCTTATGGGTGTGTAGGTTCCTTAGAGGCTTTGAAGCAGTTGGCTAAAACCCATGACTAGTAGACTTGTTGAGAGGATAGGAAAAAGGGCATAAACCCCCTTCTCCCGCATAGCTCAGCAGCTAGCGCTCTCATGTGAGAAGCTGGCTGCCCTGCTTTCTAGGCCCCTTCGCTTCAAAGGGGTTGAACCCATGTCTCTAGTCTCCCAGAAAGCCACAGCACAGCCAGTTCTCTGGTGCTGCTGTTGAAGCTAACCTCACCATTGGAAAACATGGATGGAGGGCCTGGTGAAAGCTTCTACCTCCCTGGCAGCAAGGGCCCTGCATCAAACCTACAGCCACGCGTTCTCCCATTTGCTCTTTTCCACCTGACCCCGGCTCTTCCCTCCAGGTATCCTAGGCCTTACTTATAGGAGGCCAGCTTCAGAAGAAGCATGAGGAAAGCACTTAAGCAGTGGCTGGCCTGTGCTCTGGTTAGTGTCATGCTGGGAAGTCAGACACACATACAAGCCCCATTTAGGGATGGGGAACCGAGGAGCCCTAGGTGAGTGCTTTAGCTTCTGGGGAAGAAGGTAGAGGGGCTCTCTTTCACACGTACATATGTTTAGTACTTCCACAAGGAAGTACTAAAGCATGGCACTGTATGGTGACGGGTAGACCATGGGTGACTGGTGTCTTCCGAGTCTGGGGGGGGGCACCCGCAGAAGGCATGAGTGGTGTGGCCGGAGCTGTAGATGCACCGCTATATGCAAAGCCACCTCATTCCAATTCCCCAAGCACGTAACAGTGTTTCTTGTCACTTAGTTGGACTCAGTTACTTATTGTATACTCTGTAGAGAAATATTTCTACCTAGAAACCCCACATTTCACACTATTCAGCATAAGAGAAGCATGCTCAGGTTGGCTGCTGAAACCTTGTCGCTCAAACTAAGTGTATTTATTTAAAAAAAAAAAAAAAAAATCAAAATAAGACAGAACTCCTACCACTTTGGCTACCCCCAGATCTGAAAACCAGATTGCTGATTTGGTCTCTGCAGTCACTTGCTCATCAAGCCCACTAATGAATACATAATAAAATCTCAGAAAATATATTTGTAGTGGGTATGTCGGAATCAACAGTTGCTACTACTTTCACCTTGTGGTTCACAGTTTTCCTGTCTGAAGGCAGGCAGATGGTTGACTGTAAGCCAAAAACTAAGGAGGATTTCCTCATTTCCTCTGCTGGCAGTTGCTCAGAGATTTTTCAGTACAACTGTATTACTGATATCAGATGTAGTCTGGCCTGTGTTACTAAAATGGTTCTTAGCACAATGACCAAAGGCAGAACAGACATAAGCCACAACAACTCTATTAAAGTCACTTCTCTAAATGCCTTATTTTTCCCCAATTCACGTAAGACAAAACTGTTGTGACCACTATTCATTTTTACCTTTATCAGAAATTGATGTAAAAATCTTGTCCTAAAATTTACTAGCTGATTGGTAACATCTAACAGACCAGCTTAGTGTTAGTCGAACAGTGGCTTTGATATGGTCATTTTGTGCTATTTAACAGATGAACTGCTGCTATATACTCTTTGCATGCAAAATTTTTCTCCTGTTAATATACTGAATTATAATGTGCCTGGTAACAATTGTCCAGTAGCACTACAGACCCAGTCCCATTTTTTTTTGACTGGGGGGG